AACCAGAGTCACGGAACGGATTAAGTTCGTAACTAGAGGTACCACTGTATCAATTATTTAGGAAATTATTTGCATTTCAAAAGTAAAATTATTTTGATAACAGGAATGTTTTATTGGTTGCAACTTTTCTCCCAGCTACCTCATTACATTATTGCAATGTTAAATCAAGTGTTCCACGAAATAGCCAATTCAATATAGATTCCAAAAGATATGACAGCACATTTCTGACTTTCATTTGAAAGCCATTGGCTTCTAAGTTTTTGATTGCCCCTGATACCTATCTGTTTAGCTCAATCTATCAATTATCTTGTTAAAATAAAAACATTTTCATTACAGAATTATTGCAGATAGTATCACAATCATCCTGTCATGCGTAACATGATTAGCCAGTCTTAACACTAAGGCTACTCTGACACAGAAATACACACAGATAGGCTGATACATTTTTTTGGCAATTTTTTCATAATTATTTACATGACCTTACTATTTCAAAATTTGGCAGATGAATGGACATAACTTCTGTCCATACATGGCAGAGCTTGTTTTTAATCAATCCAACAATCTATTGTACCAACTATAGGAACATTAATTCACAGGCATTTATTTCTATTGTAAGGTTTACAACATTCAAAGTTAACGAAGAAAAAAATATGTTAGTGGGATTCTCTCTCTGAAAGCTAGAGAAACACATAATCAAACTGAATAAAAGTAATTATGATAACAAGTTTCTATTTCTATACATTCAGTTCTAAAGTTTTCTACCACAGGAAAGCAAACAGGGCAAAACACTTCCGGCATTTTATATATGGCTCATCTCAATAAGAAATTATCTTCAGAAAGAGAGTTTTTAATCTAGTTTAGAAAGTTACATGACAGCACATCTTTTATAGCTTCATACTGCAGATTCTTCTATTCATTTGATCTCTCAAAATTATATAAGTAATCATAGGATAACAATATACCTTTAGATATCTCTCCATTTTCACTAAGACCTCCACAAAGAGATAATGTAACATCAGGCAAGTCCATTGCAGAATCAGACATACAATCTGTACCACTGTCTGCAGCAGCACTTCCAACTGATTGTGGAGACTGAGAACCAGAGAAAGTATCACACTCCAACCACTGTCTAGTACCTGGATCAGAGTCACTAAAGAGCATAAAAGAAGACTTTTACAACAACAACAACAATGGTAATAATAATTTATTAAACTTGCATGCTGCCCAACTCTCAATGGCAGCTCACAACATTCAAAGAAATTATAGTAACATCGATAAAAAATATAAAAATCATTTATATATAACTCGACAAAATTGACAATAAAAAATAGAGCTTCTAAAACAAAAAACTTCATTAATGTTGTTTATACTGCTGTTTTTAGTTATTTTAGATGTTCATTATATTGTAAGTTCATAGAAATCATTTTACGCAATTAGTGCAGAGGTTGATCTGTTCAAACTCTTCTTCCAATGAGTGGCCATTCAGCTATCAAGTATGGCACAAAAACTGCCGCTTTTTATTTTCTCAATTATTTGATAATCAGAGTTGCATTATAAGTAGTCCTTGCTTACCAACAGTAATTGGGACCAGAAACTCTGTTGCTAAGTGATGGAGTCATAAGACATGATGACACATGATTGTGCCAACTTATGACAGCAATTCTGGCAGTCCCAGTTGCTGTTGTTAGGAGAATACCATTAGGTCACAGTGTCCCATGGTCACATAACACCATTTGCAACCTCCTGCCGGCTTCCCCATTGACTTTGCTTGTTGGAAGCCAGCAATGAAGGTCACAAATGGCGATCATGTGACCACAGGATGCTGCAATGTTGTAACTGAGGGCCAGTTACCAAGCACCTGAATTGCAATTGTGATCATGGGGACGCTGCAATGGCCGCAACTACAAGGACATGTCTTAAGTCTCCCTCATTCAGCACCGTTGTAACTTCAGACAGTTGTTGAACGAGTGGACGTTAAGCAAGGACTACCTGTACTTCTGAACAAAGGAGCTTCACTGTCATTATTAAAGGTCAGGGAGGACATTTTCATCATCCATGAGAATATCTAATATTTTTTGTCTGAGAAGCTATGATGAATTAAAAACTTATTTTTCAAACTAGCCTAAGGTTTATTCATATATGTATGTAAAGGTAGTTATAAAAGGGATATATACCATTGAAAAGAAAAATAACAGGGTGAAATCTGCAGCTGCTACTGAAAGAGATCAATTAATCAGTTTAAGATGTCACAGTGTTGAGAAAGGCTTTGAAAGCTGGTTTTGATTCCATAAATATTTTTTAAAAATATATTAAATATATGTACATTACTGAAATGTTTACTATAAATATTTAGGTTTTTGTCAAATACCTTTTGGGAAAATAAAGAGCAGCAACCTCAGGTTCTAGAGCCTTCAGATCATCCAAATATATGTCATCAGGTCCTTGGTGCTGGCTTCTTTTATGTATCCCTGAAAAGAAAAAGTGGTGTTATTCTGACCAACTGGGGTATCTAAAAAATACAGTACAATAAGAATACTTAATTTTTAAAAAACTTCAAGGGGAATGCTTCTATAGGAAAAAAAAACTTCACTGTTAAAAGTTTTGTCAAATAGAAGTTAGCAACATGGTTCCACCTGATTTTAGATACTTTCTCTCTGAAAACTTTCTTGTATTCTATCCCATATTGTTCAAAAGAGCATCTGACTTCCCTCTGTTTAGGCTTCTTAAGGGGAGGAGAGAGACATAGAGGAGATATGGCAGAGATAAGCAAAATTCTAAAATTTGTAATTTTGTGAGCACATATAGTAACAAAATGAGGGCAGTGGGTAAGTTGCTATTCACAAAATGGCTGCCATCACCAATCACAAAAGGTTCATTTATTGGAAGGCAAAACATGTTCTTTACCATCCCAGTTGGAGCTCTGAGGTTCAAAGGCATTAGTATAAATAAAAATAATGATAGATGCTGGTGCTTTGCAGAATGTCTGCTTCTTACTTACATTTTTATTATTAAAAGTATCTAAAAAAAATCAGATAGGCAGGGACCCTAATGAGTGTTTGTGAGCACATTAATGCCTGGGACCATTATGCTGACTACCCAAGGTTAGGCAGAGGAATATTTCCTTCTGTAAGCATTTTTATATAAAAATAAATATACTATGTTGTATGTGAAATCTAAATGCACATATCTGAGCTACAAATTCTTCTTTATGCTATTCTAAAGAGCAAAGCTACTATATATATTTGTTGCTTACCTCTCAAAACTGGTTATATATCTGAAAGCTAGGAAAAACAGAAAAGTATTTTAAAACATTACCAAGAAATGAGTTAAAGATGTATACCTTTTTTCTTCGATGGAGAATCAAGTTTTGTTGGTGGCTTAATTTCTGCTGGTGACTCCGCCAGTGGGCTGGGGAGTGTATCAGAATCTAAGGCAGGAGAGTGCTCAAGAATGTCCAGAACAGGCTCTGTTACTGTAGAAGCAAGTCTGTCTTCAATATCTAGCTCTTTAAGTAGTGGATGTGTTCTTGGCTCAGGTTTTAAAACTGTACAAACTGAATCGTTCACCAGAACATCATCTTCAATTGTATCATTGCTGGATATAACCCTAAAATGAGTCTTCTCTGATGGAGTGATGGTAGCTGTTCTAGGATGTTCCAGTTTTTCCTTCTTGCTTATCTGAAAAGGAAAGCACCCTTTTTCTAAAATGGCTCATTCATCATCTGTGTTGTTCAATTCACATCTTATGAGTTGTGTGAACTGATCAGACCTATAGATTAGTGAATCTAGAATTATGTTTTGACTATGATGACCTATCATAAAATAGGTTACAGAAAATACAGATATCTTGTTTGTCCCACTTTGGATATGAGGTTTATTCCCATAGTCCTTCAATATACTTTTCAGTAAAGTTTCCTCCCTCTTCATGCTTTTGAAATAGAAACTATGGTAATGTATTGGCTCAATAGGAGGCAATCTCATATGAAGAACCAAATCACTGATAAAAATACTGTTAATGGGAAATTTAATCAGTGGAAAAACTTGCAATAGCATACAAGCTGCTGGCTCTTTAACTCAGCCTCACAAAACTTACAAGCCATTGTTTCTTACCTGTATGATCTATACTCATATTTTAAAAAGCATGTTAAGATTATTTTTAAATTGTAAAATATTTAATATTTAATTACATAAGCCAGTTTGAATTTTTTTTAAAAAAAAACTTCCTATAATTTGAAGTAGGAAAAACCAAATACAGTAAGACTTCAGCAACTATGGACCTCTGTGGTTGGCAAACTTCAGTTAGGTACAAACAACTACCTAAGCCAATATACTGAATTTAGTAAATTTTTAAGATCCAGATTTATGCTGGGAATATAAAAAGTCAAGAAAGAACTCTTAGAAGAAAATCCTACTAGCCCCAGATGTTTAATGTTTTAAAAATGGTGAATTACAAAAACAAACGTCTATATCTTGCCATCCCAAAAAAGATAAATGGTTTATACAGTGAAGAAAAAAGCTAAATATATTATAGTGATTAAAATAAACTGAGTTGAATAAAAGAAAGAAAAAAACTAGCAGAAAAAAAATCCATATAACTATAAATAACTATATATCAATTGTTAAACTTCTCATTATTAGCCCCATATAAGTACATATTTTAATGCTTGCATGAACTTGTTTTATAGTTTTCATATAATATCTATATCTATATATCAGCAATTTATATGAGAAAAAATGAGAAAAAACATTTCACACATAGAACAATAAATGAATTTATCACCATTCAAAATTCACATCAAAAATACAAATAAAATGTTGAATGTTCTCCTGGTGCTTTACTGATTTATAAACCATTCTATACCTTAAAATTCCACTATCTCCATAAAATGCTCATATCTGTTTGTTGTTCATACCAGATGCAATAAACTTTCATTATCCCAAACTTCTCCCTATTTTCACAAAACCTTATTGTATAAAATATAGTGATAGAAAATTTGTGGCCCAAGATCATCTTGTTACTCTATAGTTAGTTATTTCTTATATTTATATCCTGCCTTTCCTGTAAGAAACTCATGGAACATTTCTTCCATACTTATCAGTGAGTAAGTAATAAAACAGAGGAGCAGCTGCATGTAACATTTTTAAGTAAGATGTAGCTTGGTCCTAACAAGCCATACACTGAAACTAAAAGAATAGGTATTTCATATAGGGTGGCTCACACGTGGGTATTCACTGATAGCATTCTAGATTCAAATGAAACCAAGCCTCTGCCAATGTTTGCTGCATAGGCTTTAATGATGAAGGTAGACTTCAATAACTTTTGAACCATTGCTCAGAACTTTACTAAGCAAAATATTCTCTGTAAGCCTAAATAAAATAGCAAAATTTGAAACATGTCTATATTATGCCTGTAGAATAGTTGGAGTAACATGAATCAGAACAAATTTTAGCACATATTAAAACATTTGCATAGGACAGTTACTTAATTACATAAATCAACCTACACCAAACTTCAAGGTTTAGCTCAACAGAGTTCATTACTATAACCAGCAGAATTACCTAAATTGCTCATAAGGACAAAAAGGAAAGGGGTGGGGGGGTGGGCAGTGTTGTTGCATTTATCTTAACTAATACTCCTTTAGGCATCTCCTTTAAGAGATGTAGCTATTTTATAAAAGGACCTATAATGAACCACAAGAGGGAGCTCCTTTCATTTATTTCTTCAAAAAGTTCTTCATAACATTACTACTGATAAACATATTTCTACTGTATTATCAAAACTTTTCAGAAAACAGAATGATTTGCAAACAAGCTTACCTTGGTAGATGCAGGAAAGCCTCCCCATGTCCATTCCATGTGAGATTCTCCTCTAATAAGCAAGTTCTCTGTAGGTTTAACTTCCAGTTCTGAATCACTTTTAGGACAAGTTGGCTGGCTAAAAGGGCTGTCAAAACAAAGTTGTATTTCAAGGCATTTATTGTACAAGGTTATACAAAGAATGTTCTCCAATTAACATTCAGCAGTAAAGCAGAAAGCCAAGCTCAGTTTTTAGACCGAACAAGGAAATTAAAATAAAATCACAGCAGACAGTGCTGAACATTTATCTTTTTCAAAGTTTTTATTATGTTTTCCTGTTTTTCAGATTAAATGCTCTAAAAGTATACCTCAATTCCAAAACAACTTTATTTACAATCTCTTGCCAATATCCCTGTGTAACAGGTTTAAATAGAAACAAAGTAGCATATTCAACCAAAATCTAGAGAAATCTGGAGAAGCCAGAATTCCTCTCAAACCAAGAGATACTAGTATTAATTCAATTATGTGAAATGAAATGTTCAAAGCCAGTTTGGATCCTTTCACCAGCACAACCTAACAGCTCAATCCTTTATGTGTCTGTCCAAATAAGCCTCATTTCAGTTCACAGGCATTACTTCCAGTGCATGTAGAACTCTTTTTTGATAGACATAAAAATGATTCAAAAGCTATGAAAAAAAAATCACTGATTTGACTGCTATGATTGAAAATTACACCCAATTTCCAGTGCCATTTTACTCTGCAATATAATTTATTTTGGGAGGAGAATGGGAGATTCGCGACATTCCTATTATCACAGTTATTCTTTTGTTTACCCTCTCTCTCAATCTCATCAACACTAAGTAGAAAAGGAAATTTTAGCTGCTCTTTTTGCTTTTGCTTTTGCTTTTGCTACTGTTTGCTTTTTGCTTTTTTTAATTTTTGTTACTGTTCATACACTTAGGGCAGTTAAAAGAGGTCAACTTGCCTTGAAATGTGCCCTACGCTACACATTTTGAATATAATCATAGATGTCTCTCTAACCATGATGACTCAGAAATGATGAAATATGCATCTTGATATCACAACACATGCTCTGTCCTTTCGTATTTGCATTGCAATATCACACACACGTATGTAAGAGGTAGAGTTTGTGTCACAATGTTACGATATATGTTTCATCATTTGTTTCCCCCACCTACAGACACTTACGCTGCTTATGAGTTAACAAGTAAAAGGGAAATTGAATTCTAACACAATTTTGGGATACATGAAAATTGCCAAAGTTTTTTTAAAAAGTCCCACACCTTATTTATTTGTTTGTTTATTTTTAAATTTTATATATGCCGCCCATCTCACTATACAAGTGACTCTAGGCGGCATTACAGATAAAAAACTATGAAATCCTAGAAAAAATATATAAGTTAAAAACTACAAAAGGTTAAAATTAAGCTAAAAAGTTAAAACTACAATGCAAACTAAAAAAGTGGAGAAAGCATCCACAGGCTACCAGCCAACCCCAGTGCTGCGAACCCCCCTTGGGTCCCCATGCAAGATGGCAGAGCCAGGCCTTAACGCCCTTTCAGAAGGCCAACAAATACTCAATTATACATCTCCAAGTATACATCTCCATTAAGTGAGAATTAAGAATTAGGTGAATTAAGTGCTGGGGACTAATCTCATCTCAGGGGGCAAGATATTCCAGGGGGCAGGAGCCATGGCAGAAAAGGATCTCCTGGACCCCGCCAGTCAAAACACTGTAGGCAACGACAAACATACCCTTCCTGCTGAATCGGGTAGGATGGGTCGATGTAATGGGGACGAGACAGTTCCTCAGGTAACCTGGGCCCATGTCATGAAGGACTTTAAAGGTCATAACCAACACCTTGAATTGCACCCAGAAGCAGACCAGCACCCAATGCAGCTTGCACAGCAGAGGTGTTACATGTGCAGTCCTGGAGGTGCCCATAACTGCCTGCGCTGCAACATTTTGCACCAGCTGTAGCTTCCGAATACTCTTCAAGGGTAGCCCCACGTAAAGCACATTGCAATAATCCATATGAATGACTGAGAGAAGGGCTCCTGATCCAGGAAAGGGCACAGCTGGCATATAACACAAAGTTGAGCAAAGGCCCTCCTAGCCATGGCTGCCACCTGCTCCTCGAACAGGAGTCGTGAGTCTAGGAGGACCCCCAGATTGTGCACCAGGTCTGTCTGGGGCAGTGCCACCCCATCCAGAACCAAAGATGATAAGACCCCAGATATGGGAGAGCCCCAAACACAGCCACTCCATCTTGCCAGGGTTCAGTTGAAACCTGTTGTTCCCCACCCAGGCCCCACAGCCTCCAGGCACTGCAAAAGAACATCCACAGCAGCACAATTCACCTGGGATGGAGATGTATAATTGAGTATCATCGGCATCATACACCTCATCTCATGGCACCGAATGATCTCACCCAGAGGCTTCATGTAGATATTAAAAAGGAGCGAAGAGAGCACTGGGCCTGTGGCACCCCACAAAGCAGGGGCCACGGGTTGGACCTTTCATTCCCTATCAACACTGACTGGGACCAGCCTTGGAGGAAGGAGGTGAACCAGCCCAAAACTGTGCTGCCCACCCCCAACTCCCACAGCCAACCCAAAAGGATACCATGGTTGATGGTATCGACAGCCATTAAGAGGTACTCTGTCAGAAAAGCTTCTACAATGAATATTAGGACAAGAACAACATAGTAATGTGCCAGAATGCATGATCCCTAATACTATGTAAAAGTACAGAGGCAACCCCACAGAATTAATAACGTAAAGATCTTCCTTATGCAGAGTTTATGTGAAAAATATTTAATACCATTTTTCATAAAAGAATTATACATGAAAGTGACCTACTTCACTGAAATAGACCAGTCTCCATCTGATAAAGGGTAATCATCCTTTGAAGGGTAAATCAATGTATCTTTATAGTTTTCATCCTTTGGTGGAGAATCTGCAGGGCTTCTGTGACACAGAATTGATGTTATTAAAGGACATAACATAACAGTGTATTTTAACATACAGATTCAGATGGGAAAAATGGTAAACTGGTAGATACTTTCACCCTAGTATCAGCAATTCCGTTAGCAATTCTGTGTTTTAGCTATATTTTTAATAGATCAAAGCCTGAAAGATCAGTAATGGTCTTTGCTCTCTGACACACATTCAAGCCTATACAGCAAAGAGCTCTATAGAATGATGCATGTTTGGGGGTATTATAGTACCTTGGCCTGTGTCTCAGCATTCAGAAGCCAAATCCTATGATTTTCTTAGTGGATCTGGAAAAATAGCCTGCTATTGAAATATTTATTATTACATCCTCAAATTTATGCAATATATATATATATATATACCTTAATCATTGTAAGTAAATGAGTCTTTATAGAAATTTTAGATTTCAATCGTAATCTCTTACGAAGCTTCACAATTGGTTACTTAATTTTAACAAGATAAATTATTTAAAGTTGTATCCTTATGGAAGGATTACCTCTTCATTTTTCTCATTTGATAATAAAAGTAGTAAGAAGTTTTTACTTGTTATATTCATAAAAACTCAATTATTATAGCAAACATACCTACTGGTATCTAATCTGCTCATTATTTATTCTATTAGTTATTTTTGAAGTCGTTATTACACATATTACTCTAAATATGAATTTTGAAAGATAAATTAGTTAAACATTTATACAGTATTCTGATGAGTTGAATTTATAAAACAAACTCTTATTTTAGTTTTGGATTTTGCCTAATAAAATGTAAAAGAAATATTATTACTGAACTTTTCACAATGTGACAGTCTAACTAAACAGAACTTCCTTTAAAAATTTACCTCAAAGGCTGAATACATCTGTCATCATCTGAACTTATTTCCATTTCAAAGATTTCCTCAGTTCCAAGAGAAGAGAACTGATCTTCTTTCTTCACATCTTGTTTACATTTTCTTTTTCTTCGCTTTTTTTTCTTCACTGACCCAGAGGACAAAAAAGGCTCTGCTTCCACAATTTGTGGAACTTCTGAGCTTAAACCTATCTTTTCACTTTCACCTGACTTCATCAAATTGCCATCATTTTCCTTGAAGAACTGATCTTCTGTAGGTATCGGTGATGTTGCCAAATGGGCCGGAACATTTTCCTAAAAATCATTTAGGTGTACGTGAATTACATATGTTTTACCAAATTATTACAATATTTGACTCAGAAATTAATGCTGATGATAATAGAAACAGAAATAGAAGTGTATATTATGATGTCCAGAAACAACACGTTTGAGTTATGATAGTTATTTAAAAATGATTATACACATATATTAAGAAATGGGGAAATGGATATGCACAACTAACTTCTCATGCCCACATTCAAGAGAAGATGTGTTTTGCACTGACATTCACTAAGATTTGGATACCCACTGTCTCTTTTCTCATGAAAGACATACTTGCCTAATATAACTAAGAGGTAGAGCTCTGAACATTTGGTTTTTTTTCCTATCCACCTTAGTTTTATATGCAAATCCTCAATAGTTAATTATTATGGCTTACTAAAACAAGACAACTTTATAAATCTTGAAATTGAAATTGGTTTGTTTAAAACAAAGGATCAAAATCAACCATACCAGATTCATAATAAAAAAAATTAATCAAAACAGAAGAAAAAGTTTCAAAATTCTCCTCACTGTGATGCCACAGCAGGAAAATGGTAGATGAATGCATATACCACATTTATATGTACTATTACCTTTCATAATCTACCACCTTTATTTACTTAAGCCAAAAATGACAAAGGTTCAGCAATTTTGCATTCCACTACTACAATTTGCTGCTTCCAAAGAAACCTTTTTCTGGTTTATTTGGCAGTGCATTTTTTTTTTTAAATGGAAAGCAACACCATGTTAGTCAGGTTATAGTTGGGTTTTCCTGCTGTTCTATTATTCTGGAGTGGCAAATAATACTTAGAAATACTTGAAAAAAATCTATACCTCTTGAATAGATAAATGCTGATTAAAAAACTTGAAAAGTATAAGCTTTCCCTAGACTGAATTAATTGTAAACAAGTTTGTAAATCCCCTATGCAAGTTTGTCCGGAAGTTAAACATCACAGAATTGTAATGCCGGTGGTTTTACTGGAAGATTGACACCTGTGTAGAGTAGGATGATCTTTCTCATCTTCAATCCAATTAACCCTGAGAAAGAGATACTCTTTTAACACTGAGATGGTCTCATTACCACTTGGTAAAAACAAAGACTCCTTAGCCTTGATGGTCTCATTCTTGGCAGGACTCCTCAACTTTTAACTTGATGGTATCATTCTTGGCAGAAGGACAAAGCATTCCAAGATAAGATATATGCGCCCTCCTTGTTCTTGGAAAAATCCAATGAGATGATACCACTGGAAAGCAGATGTACTTAATTAGGGTTCAGGGTCTATGTAAGCTAGTCAGAGACCTCCACAGGATGGAACTTAGTGCAGACCTAACTGGGAGGGTGCTACATGTTTGCTAGCATTGAAGGGGTCTGTCTGCCATTCTCTCTAAAATTCCCTGACTGACAAAAGGGGCATAAAGTCTATCTTTCTTTGTGTTATTGTATACTTGTATTCATGAATATTTTTAATTGCTGTCTTGTGTTAACATTCTTTGATCGCTGTTTTGAGTTATATTCTTAAATATTCCTGAATATTCCTTGATTGTTGTCCCATGTTATATGATTATGTTATTTTCTTGCACTGCCTTCGAATAAAGCCTTAAGTACTCTTATTGGTGTAATCATTACTTCCAAATCCAAAAGAACCTGTAGAACCAGTAACCCAACCCCACTGGACTGGGAACAGAGCAATACAAGGATTCAAGTAGGCTCACCATCTAATAGGTTTAGGGTTTTAGTCACAATCACAATAGAATGTGTAGTAATACTATATATTATTAATAGAGTTATAGCATGAGATACAAGTAATATTTTATCACATTCCTCTCTAAAAAAGAATAAATTTTGCTTATCTTAATAAACAGTCTTCTTGGGATAAAGGCATTCTAACTATAACATTGATAAGAAAGTTAGCTGTGATAAATTTCAGCAAAAGTAAACATGAGACAAAATATGCATTATCTTTTAAAACAGGGCATAAGGCTTATTTTAGACTGAGGGCTGCTCTTGACCTTTATTTGGCATATCAGGGACCATCCCAAAAAAGTAGATAGGGCCAGATTAAAAAGTAAATGATTTAATTTAAATATTATTAATTATAGCTAACATGTTTTTGTTGCCATTCAATTGCTTCTGACTGTTCATGACCCAACGGATGTCATTTTTATAGGACTGTTTCTCAGGAATTGCTTCTTCTGATAAGCTTAGGCTTGTCAGCAGTAATAGTATGAGATCACTGTGCTTTTTTTTTTTTTTGGCCTCTTCTTCAATTGCTTTTTATTTTTTCAAGCATGAAGATTTTCACCAATGTCTCTTGTCTTCACATAATGTATCGAAAATATTTAAGCGTTACTCTTGTTATTAAGATTTCTAGTGAGCAGACTGTTTGTTCTGGAATGATCCGTCATTCTTGTGGCCCAAGATATTCTCCTGCATCACAGTTCAAAGACACTGATTTTTAATTTGTTCAGCCTTTCAGATATTGATTTTTCTTTGTTCACCTTCTGTCACAGTTTTTCTCCCAAGTAGCAGATATCTCCTTATTCCAGGTAGCAGACATCTCCTTATTTCATGGCTACCGTCACCATCCTTGTGAATTTTTGAGCCTAGGAACATAGAATCAATATTTCAATTTCTTCTCTGCCTACCTGCATTAAGTTGGGATTGCCTGTTGACATAATTTTGCCAATGTTTTCTTAATACTGTGCAGAAGACCAACTTTTGCTCTCTCTTCTTTCACCTTCAGCAATAGGTTTCTTAAGTCTTCCTTGCTTCCAACCATCAAAGTGGTATCATCAGCATATGTGAGGTTGTTAATTGTCCCAGAACTAATTGTTCTGTAGTCCAGAAGCATTTTTCATGATATATTCTGCATGTAAGTTAAATAAGTAAAGTAACAGTATAAAAATCTTGGCATACTATTTTCCCTATCCTGAACCAATTAGTTGCCCAATATTCCATTTAAACTGTTGCTTTCTGGTCATTACACATTCTTCAAGAAGCAGATGAAGTGGTCTGGTATACCCATGTTTTTAAGTGCCATTAAGTGTAATTGTCTCCACAGTCAAAAGCTTTTAAAAAGTGGCAACACTTATATGATCTTTGAGGGACACTTGCAACTATGGAACATCAAATTTTGCACTTCTGTTTTATATTTAGAAAATGAAGTGATTACTAGCCATAGATGAGGTTATTCAAGCTGTAACTCCTTGGTTAAGAATTTGCTGGCAGGCTTGTCTTGAAAGCAACATTGTTTTTGTGTAGAGGTATGCAAATTGAATAGAAACAGTCTCTCTCTTAAACATTCCATTTCAATCATCAGAAGTGGTTTAATCTTAAAATTGACTGTCCCAACGTTCATTTCTCAGTTGGAAAGGCCCATTTTCAAGGTTAGGTCATTTTGTGTAAGATTGGGATGGCCTACACTTACACTGGAATACTTTTGGTGAAGTCAGATCATTTCAACCTTAAAATGTTTGGCATGCTTCCATTTTCTGAAGATAAATATCCCCTTTTCTTTGCTCAGATAGTAAAATCAATTTAAATTAATGTTGAATGCTTCTTTATCTGATAGTCTCTCATTTTATTTGTAGTTTCATGAATATGTTTTTTTATAATCCTTATCAAATTAAATTCAGTGAAAACCAGTATTTAAACATTTAGAACAGACAACATGAACAGAACTTTTTGCTATTTTAGTGACTTGTGCTGAATATAGTACACAATTTCAAATTAATAAGTATCACTGATACTTATGATTCTGTAGACTACAAGTAGTAGGGGGGAAAAAGAAGATGTAAAAAGAGACTTTAAAAAGTTTTAACTTATTTTTCTTTACTACCCACAATCTCATGTATCCTCCCCCAAATCCTCAGTATCTCCCAAACAAACATTTTTTTAATTAAGAGAGAGACAGAGACAATAGGAGACTAAGAACATCCAGGAACAAGAACAAATGAGAAAAAGGGAAAATAAAATAAAAATTAAGCTAGAGAGAGAGACAAAGATAAGAGAAAGATAAAGATTGAAATATTGAGTTGGCCCGCAAAAAATCAATTTCTTCTAAATAAAAAGCAAATATCTGCCCAAATGTTAGAATTGGAATAAAGTTACATTTGTTAGATGACTTACAAATTTTTCTTCTGTTTCCTGTACAAAGAAGGCTTCTCCATTATCACCCAGTTTCATGTGAAGATCAACTGCCTCTCCATTAATTTCAATATCAATCTGTGAAAAATACAACAGAACATTTGCTGCAATAAAAATACACCCCAAAACATATGTCTATATTTATGCAATATATTATTCTTTTAACCTAAACTGCTGAGACAAAAAAATTACCAATATACCATATTTATTTATTTATACAGCTGCCCATCTCACATATGTGATTCTGAGCAGTGTACAACATTAAAACACAAAACAATACTGAACAACAAAATAACCAACCCTGCCCACAAGAATCATTAAAAATGTTAAAACAATTTAAAAACTATTAAAACCATTAAAAATATGTGGGAGAATACAATCAATCTCACTAACAATACAACCATTTTGCAGGCTCTACACTACCACTACCATATCCCCAGGCCAACTGGCAAAGCCATGTTTTCAGCCAAGTTTTCATACTTCTTTGCCATTCTTTCAGACAATTATCAATGTATATTGAGTTAATTCTTATGAGCAACAAGGTAACTGATCCATCTGACTTAGCATGGGTATCTGCAAGGTATGTAAGAGATGGGCAAGTGACATCATAACATAAATGGGGCAAACTCTGTAATCTGCCTCATTTACATCATGATGAAACTGATGCAAATTATATATGGAACATCATGATGCAAGTGATGTCAATGGGCTTCTACCAAATGTCTGTTAGATGGTAGATGATAGAAATACTATCAATATCCAGTGTACATCAAGGCCAAGAAAAGCAACAGCAGCAGTAGCACTCTTGGAAGAAGGGAAGGAGTGGCAATAAGGCAGGCCAAACAAAAAATGAAGAAAATGTTTTATATTTGGTCAATTTTTGATCTTTAATGGCAAAATGTTATGTCCTACCCTCCAGGAACCATATTAGGATTTGATTTTTTCATGTTGTTCATAAATAACCTATGAGGCATGTATAATTATCAGACAAATTAATAATGATAATCAAGGATTCCTGCCAATTTAACAGATCTATGATCTATGAATATGTTTGCTTTAAAAGGATGATTCCTCTTAAACTAGTGGCCATTTCATTAAGAAAACAGTGATTCCAATACAACATATAAATTCTAATATTAGGGAAATGCTGCAAATTTTACATCTATTGTTCTACTTTCCACATAATTCTACAAACTTCTATATTTCTTTTTAATTGCTACTGTCTCTCCTTGTAGAAAAAGTATTACAGTTCCTGGATTACTTTAGTTATTCTATTCTTGATTCTTTCTAGCACTTTAAGATTTTTGTTGAAATGGAACAAGCAGAACTTTATACATCTCAGAATGGTGGCTTGGTTATATATTTATATAAGGATAGTATGCTATTTAATTTCCTCACTCAGGACAAGTTTATGTTTATTTGCATTTAATCTCATGTCTCATTTTTTATTCTCATGATGCAGTTGTTAATAGCTGTGATTGTGGCGTGCATCAGTTAAATCATTATGTAGCAGTTCTTAATTACCTTTATTGTTCTGCTTCCTATGGTAAGTTTTCTAGAGGCTTCTATTTGGCCACTCTGAGTAACTGAACAGAACCTTGCTATAGCAAGGCTCCCCTCCCTATCCTACCTTACAGGTGTTTATTGAATCTGGAAAAATGATGTGCCACAATAACAGTATAGTTTACATTGTACATACAGTTGGCAAAAAAGGAAAAGTATTTTGATTCCCTAGTCTCTGACATTCATGATACTCACCACTTTCTCTTTTGAACGTAAGACACCAAGTTTTCCAAATCGGACATGGAATGGTGAGCATAGGTATGTACCATCTTGTTGCCGAACTACAATTACATCAATGCATCCTGAAAGTGTAGCTTGATTAATGCCTTTATACAATTCCTTCACAGTAACCAGAAGTCCAGCAAGCTGACCAACATAATTCATATTTTAAAGCTACAAAGAAATGTTGATTGAAATTATTATTCCAAATACAAAGAACTTTAAATTGTAAAAAAAAAAATACATGCACAAACCTTTTACCACGTAACATGAATTTTAATTTAGCAATTCATGCAATAATTGTGATCTGAGGTTATATGTGTAAGACATTGGACTGAAAATAAAAGGTCAGTGCATAACTCCAGAGTATTAGAGGTAATGCATATTGTGCATATATGTCAAGAGTACATTTTCAATTATTCAAGAATTTAAAAAAATCTTATGCTACTAAAGTTCAAACCCACAGTACTCATTATAATTAATTGCAGTCTTGGTAATGCATTCATAGGGGTCTAAACAAAACAAAGGTTACAGTTACACAATACACATGTTATATGTACGTTATTCATGTGGAAACTCAGAACTGACATTCAGTTTATCAACTTAATGAAATTGCAAATAATCATCGCTCCTTGCACTTGCACTGGTTACATTTACCCTTAATATTCACAGGTACATAGTCACTGCATTGCTTTAGGCAAGAATCTACTGAAGGACTTACTATTAAATATTCCTGAACAAGATTTGGTTCACTATTTAGAACCAAGTTATATCAGATCTAATGTGTGGCCTCCAGCACATGCCCATCATCACCCTGATTTAATGAAATCTCCTCTAAATCGTCCACTCATGCTGTCATTCCTATCTCTGCTTGGTACTCTCCTACTAACTTCTCTCCTCTCTTCTCCATCAACCTCTGCCTACTTTCAGTCACCATTGTCCAAGTCATTGCTGCTCTTGGCAATACAGACAATTCTGCAGCCACCATCCCATCCTAAATGCAAACACCACTCAACCCCCCCCTTCCAACTCCATTCTCACCAGGCACAATAGAAGAACCCAGGCTCTCAGCATCCACCGCCCCCCCCCGCCAAATCCCAGACCCTGCCATCACCAAGGTTGCATTAGAGCTGTATTTCAGAGACAGCTAAAAACAAGTGGAAGCCACAGCATGGGGAAAAAAAACTTTTTTGTTAAAATTTAAAGGCATACAATACTGAAGTACATGCCAAGTTGTCCTATGCTTTCATAACACATCTATTAATCAAGACTTTTAAAAAATCACATCTTCACATATTTTATGTAGATATGAGAAAAGTTTCTTTTGCCCCTACTAATGCTATATAACATTATGAAGGAGAAAGTGACAGTTAGGACAACTAAAACAAAGCAAAACATCCCCATTTCCTATTACCTTCCCAGGGACTTAAGAAACCATGAACTCTGTCAGCTTAGCCATAAAACAGAAGGCCAAGGAATGTTCATAAAGCTGGAAGGAAGACACTGGGGGCAAACATAGGCTCTAGGAAGCAAGGCCAGTATAAGATAAACTCATAAAAGTACTACCTAGAAAAAACTATGCCTGTGAACTGCCCCTCTGTTCTCTCAAATACACCACTGTCTTGGTAATACTACTCTCATTACCTCCTAGTATTGCCCTAATTATCTCACTCACCTAACTAAACACATGATGTGCTGCTATATCCAATTAAATATGTTGCTGCTGTATACAACCACATGTACAGATGTGGCCAAAAGTATTGGTACTTCTCCACTTTTTTCCCAAAGAATCCCAATTTACCATGAAGTAAGTTGAAACTGACACAAGTAGTGTAAATGAAACTGACACAAGAAACTAATGACAAACCATTTCAGTACTCTTCCCAAGAAAAATACATGGAACAGAATTTGGGCTTGACTGGAGTAAGTACAGTGGTACCTTGGGATACGAACGCCTCTACTAACGAACATTTCGGGTTACGACCAGCTTCGGCAGGAAACATTTGCCTCGGGTTACGGCCAACTCGGGATACGTCCAGAGTCACAGAACGGATTAAGTTCGTATCCCAAGGTACCACTGTATGTACCTTTTTATTACTGAACAAAACAGACATTTAAAAATCTCAAGGAAGCCATGCTTTAGTATATTAACAATAATGAAACAATGCTGTATTCAATCTTATTAACTTTCTCAAAAGCGTTAAATCTTTTTCATTATTAAACTGATTCAAAAAATAATAAAAATAATGCAAACACTAACAGTTGCAAACAAAACCATTAAATTTCATTTCATTTAAACTATTATCACAAAAACCAGATGAACAAAACAGTGAAAAATAAGAAAAAGAAATGAAAAGGAGAAAGAAAAAAAAGAAGAAAAAACAACTTTTCCTACAGTTTTAAAATAATAATAGTATAGTCAATTTTTTATCAGTAAATTAAATCTAGGCCATATGAAATCATATTGATACCTTTGAAGTCCTGGCAGATTCTTGATTCTAACTATACAGGTACTCCTCGGGTTACAACAGTAATTGGGACCAAAATTTCCATTGCTAAGCGATGGAGTCATAAAGCACAATGTCACGTGACCGCATCGCTTAGCAAAAGAAATCCCAGCAGTCCCCCATTGCCATAGTTAACCAAATCCCAGCAGTCATTAGGGAGGACCCACCCCGATCCAAGCCATTCCTGGCCTGGTCCCTTCCAAAGCCCTGAGCCTCAGTAAGGTAAGGGACTGCCTCCTCCTGAACTCACCAATCTCCTCCCCTCTTGGCCATCCTGCACAGCAGCACTCCTTGGTGGCAGTGCCAGTGGCTCGGGGGCTGAAGTAGAGGCCCAGAGCCTTCAGCAGTCTCAGCTGGCTGCCGCTGCCCCCAGGCCTCTACTTCAGTCCAAGCACCACTGGCACCAGTGACACCACCAAGAAGTGCCACCTTAGACCTGTGCCATGGCCAGCTACCTCAGCACAAAGTCCCACCGCCACCACTGCCCTGTGCCCTGCGGCCCATTCACACCCAGCTGACCCTCGCCGTCTTCCTCCCGCTGCTGCTGAAGTGCACCTGGCCTGGCCCTATGCGAGGCAGCTGCAGGCCTTGCCAGGCCTTCTTCTTGAGGCTGCATGCACTGTTCTCCAAATCACATGCGGCCTTCTTGGAAGCCCTCCAAAGCATCGCGAGAAGGGTGGTGGGGGAGGCTGGGGCTTTGTGCTGTGGCGCTGGGGTGGCTGGCCACAGAACAGGGCTTGAGGTAGCACTTCTCAGTGGTGGCACCAGCGCCAGTGAAGCTGGGGCTGAAATGGAGGCCCAGAGGCAGTGGCAGCGGGTGGCTGAGACTGCTGAAGGTCCCAGGCCTCTACTTCAGCCCTAGCACTGCCACTGCCACCGAGGAGTGCCGCTGTGCAGGGTGGCCAAAAGGGCAGAGATGGGGGGGAGATAGGTGGATGGGGGAAGTTGAAGTGCCACTGTGGTTGTAAGTGTAGGCAGGCTGCCAAGCACCCGAATTTTGATTGTGTGACCATGGGGGCACTGCAATGGCCTTAAATTTGGGGACTGGGCATAAGTACCATTCATTCAGTGCCACCATAACTTCAAACATTCACTAAACAAATAGTTGTTAAGCGAGCACTACCTGTAGTATGATTCTTATTGTATTTCCAACACTAAAGGCAGTATGAAATATTTGGGCCTTATTGGTAAGGAAAATAAAAGATTTTATATCTCATGAAAAATGGACATTTTGAAATAATTCTTATTTTAAAATGCCAGGAAAAGTTTTGATTTTTTTAAAATCATGCCCTAAAAAGGGAACCACCCTTAATCAGTTAATAGGTGACAGTACAGTACTTATAAAATGTTTGAAAATTATGAAAGGAATATAATTTATCAAAAGCAGCTGAATGACAATGTAGTAAAACATTTGTTACATTCCTTCTTTGACACATAGACCAGCCTTTCTCAACTGGGGTTACATGAGTGGTCACTAGAGCTTCCATGAGATTGTGATTGAAAAACATTGTTTTTTAATTTTGCGCAATGCTAGCAATCGCAGTGGGTGGGAATTTTTACACGCCATAATTCAGCTTACTGATCACACTAACGTACTGTGAGGTAAAGAAATAATTTTTATGCAGGGGTTCCCTGAGACTTGAAAATTGTTTCAAAGGTTCCTTCAGGGTAACAAGGTTGAGAAAGTCTGGTATAACCCTCTGAAATTCATGAATTTTTATCTGTACTAGAGAGAGTTTTTACAGAGGCTATACAGTTTGATGTTTTCAAAAATTAAGAAATATTACTAAAATGAACTTGGAGAGACAATAAAACAATCTCATTCTAGTAAGGTATATTGATATTTTTACAATAAAGGCATGAGAAAATTCCACAATTAAAAATTAATTTTATATCAGATACTTAAAAGCAGGGGTCCCCAACCCCCAGGCTGCAGACCGGTCCCGGCCCGTGACCTGTTAGGAACCGGGCCACAGAGCAGGAGGTGAGTGGCAGGCAAGCGAGCGAAAACAGCTGCTCTGCATTGCTCGCGTTACCACCTGAGGTCTGCCTCCTGTCAGATCAGTGGCAGCATTAGATTCTCATAGGCACGTGAACCCTACTGTGAACTGCGGATGCGAGGGATCTAGGTTCCCTGCTCAGAATCCGCATTTTTACTTATTTTACTCCGTGCGTGGCCCGCCCATTATTTTATTTACCACTGCCGTCCACACCTCTTCCTG